GAAATTTGAAATTCACCTTCTAGAGAAAAGTTTTATGGTCAGATAAAACAAAGGTTAGGCTATCTGGCCACATCTATGAAGGAGTAAAGGCGACGTATTCAAACCAAAGAACAATGTACCAACTGTGAAGCACGGTGGTGGCAGCATCACTTGGGGCTGTTTTGCTGCCAGTGGTGCTGTTTTATTACACCAACCGGTTGGAATAATGAAGAACTACCTCCAAATTCTTCAACTTGAACTCAAATCAACAGTTTGATGGTTGAAACTTGGACACTGTTGGATGTTCAAACAGAAAAATGATTCCAAACATACTTCACATCTGGTTTTGGGATGGATAAAGCAGGTGAACGTTAAGCATCTGGAAATGCCTTTCCAAAGATCAACCTCAAACTTATTGAACATTTGTGGACTGTGCTTAAAAGGCACATCTTTACGAGGAAACACACCAGAAACACTCCAGCCAGAAGCTTGTGATGGTTAAAGTACAACTTGCTAATGGATATTTAAACAGATATTAGTGGAGGTGCATGTATATATTTGAGCATGAATGCAGAGGTTTTAACCTGGTGAAATCCAAAATAAATAAAAATTTGTGCACCCAATTCTTGTTTTTTAAATTTCTTAAAGGCGTGTGCTGTACATTCATCACACACTGGAAAAATAACTGTTCAAAGAAATCATTAAAAGCCCCAAATTACCATGACATTCATCCCTATGAAGAACATGTGTAAACATCTGGCCACAACTGTATATTTGGCTCTGAATTTTGTTCTTATCTGTTTGTATTTAACTGAGCTGGATATCTACAGTGTGACTTTCTCTGCTGCTGTTTCATGTTCTGCAGACTAAAGCTAAAGTGCTTTAGCTCGTGGCACCTGTAAATCCCATTAGAGTTCTTATTAACGCCTAAAGTTTTGACTTCCTCTTCTCGGAGAGAATTTCCACTAATGTTGAAAACAGTCTGCAGCTCTGTCCTGGGGCAACCAGTGTAACAAATACACACCAAATATATAAGTGAAAAATAGGCGCAAAAACATTCGTTAATCTGTGTTTGCACACCCAATTACATCACTGGATTCCCATCCAGCCAAAAATCCCCAACACCATCATTTGGGTCACGATTTTTAAGAAATCTGCAACACTTAAGCAGAAGATTAACTGTGATATATGAGCCTATGACACACTCTCGTTTTAAGACCTTAGAAAAACTAATCTGAGTAATGCAAAGCTGCAGCCAACAGTAATTTAACTTATCAACTTCTTTCCATCTGCTAATATTAGATGATAGTGGTGTGGAGTCGCCTAATTATTCTCCGAAAGCCCAGTTTTAGATCCTGATTTGTCTTCTTTTGTCACAGTCAGTAAGAAACGGAAACTATTCACATCTCAGGAGCTCCAGCAGTTCTCTCAATTATTACTATTAGTTATGGCACATTAAAGTACTGACGATAAGTATTATTCCCTGAAGTCTGGCATCACTTATTGATAATCAGAAAACCAGAAATGTTATATTTCAAGTGGCTAATGGTCTTTATCAAATGAATCGTTTAAAAGAGAAAATGTGCCAGTTTTAGTACTTATATCCAATTGTTCATGATTTCCTTGTAATATTCAGTAATCGTGCGCACCATTGTGACTGTCTGTCTGATCTTCTGTCATGCAGGGCTGGAGAATGAGGGCTGGTTTGACCCATGGTCTCTGCTGAACGCCTTTAAGAGGAAGGCCATCTCCATGGGAGCCATTCAGTGCTGTGGGGAAGTCACAGGTTCGTTACAGCGTCCTGACAACTAAACAAACACAGACACACACACACA